GCTCCGCTGTTGGAACATATGCTGAAATATTTCTTATTGTTGGAAATTATATTTGGGGCTTATCTTGCTTCTTTCGTTACCCCGTTTGTTGAAATACATGCTGGATATCATTTTTAAATGCTAGAAATTATGTTTGGGGGCTCATATCTCACTGCTCTTGCTGCCCCTTGTTGAAATACATGCTCAATATCATTTTTAAATGCTAGAAATTATGTTTGGGGGCTCATATCTCACTGCTCTTGCTGCTCCTTGTTGAAATACACGTTGGATGTCATTTTTAAATGCTAGGAATTATGTTTGGGGGCTCATATCTCATTTCTCTTGCTACCCCTTGTTGAAATACATGCTAGATATCATTTTTTTAAATGCTAGAAATTATGTTTGGGGGCTCATATCTCACTTTTCTTGCTGCCCCTTGTTGAAATATATGCTGGATTTGAGTCTTGGTTTTGGGATGATGCCTTAGCCATGAGCTTCCTATTCATTTAGCTGGATTTGATTTTTTGGTTTTGGGTTGTTGCCTTACCCGTGAGTTTTTGATTAAAATTGAAGTTGAAGGGTTTTGATAATTGTATGATTTTTAGAGGTATAGAAAGATGTTCCCTATGGATTGTTATCCTATATTTTATGAAATGAAGAAGATTTTTGAAGTTTCATTTTGAGTTTAATATAAATTGAAGTCATGTCGGGTTTGGAAATCCATAAAAGCGCCACTTGGAAATGATATCCTTCTCGGAATTGATCCGATCATTTTTCTTTTAACGAATTTAAATGTTTTAGACCGAAACATTCATGAGTTTTATTGATTTAATTTGGTTTTAAAAACGGATCGGTCTCATTTTCGTTTATTTTATTTTATTTTATTTTTTTACGGTTAAGTTAAAAATGAGAATTTTCGATTTAATTAAATTCAGAAATGATTTATAATCTCAAGGAAAATAGGAGAGAAAGAGAAGATGAGAGAATTGAAATTGAAATTTGAATTTTTTGGATGATACAATCTAAAGAGGAGATAGAATAGCGAACAATCCACCTTTTCTTTTACATAAGGAAAAATGAATTGCAAATTGGAAGACTAGTTGGAATTGGAAGAAATGAGAATTTAGATAACGATTGAGAGATTAGTGGACTTACACTTAGATCCCTTAAGCTTTGAATCAATTTAAAATCCAATTCCTTTAACTAGGATTGAAGCACAACTCACAACTTTTTTGCCAAAACTATGAGTTTACCCCTAGGTTTTAGGAGTCTGATAGCGAGCTAAGCTGGATCTATAGATGTTTGAGGGTTAGTGAAAAGACACTTAATTGAGATTAGACACTTTAGGACACTTCAAGTTTAAACTAAAGTGCAAACATCTTAGATCTTAGGAGCACAACTCAAGAAATAGTTTATTATCCTAATTTTCAAATGACCCTAAGAAATCTAAACATCTAACCTCAGTTTGATAAGTAGGACACTAGACACGAGGGTGCACTAGATTGTGACTCATGACTGATTTAATTAAATTAAATAATAAAATTCTTACCTTAACTTGACCAAAACTGAAACTCAATGCTCCGGGATTTGAGTTTGTCTTACACTCAAATCCTCCTGGCAATTGGGGACATTCCAATATCACATATAAATTTCCTATTCTCGGTCCTTTATATATGGTATGGTATTTCATTTTATTTGTTTATCTTTTCCCTGCAATTTACCTATTTTTGTTAAGTCTTTTTCAGGTCATACTTCCCTCTTTTACACAACATATAATAGCTAAATTTAAAAGGAGCAATGAACCTCTCAGGTGTACAGGTTTAATTTACATTACAGCATTTTATTTTAAAAGCATGTTATATTGTTTTCATAGCCTATTATACTGCTTCCCTAGCACGTTATGTTCTTCTTTCAGCATGTTATATTGTCTTTTCTCTTTATTATACAGTGCATTATTACTTTTCTTTCACATAGCATGCTTAGTTACTTTGATACACTATGCCTTAGTTTAGGATAACCTAGTGGTTAGGAGCATGTTCAAAACTAAAACTAAACCAGGAGGTGCCACTACGAGGAGTTTGGAGCGAACATCGTTGGGCAGCGCGACGGGGAACAATTTCCAGGTGGATCTCCAGCAACGAAACATCTTCACATCACATGAACATTTACACAACACTATACACTTTCCTTAGTTTAAATAACAACCCATAGGATCATTTCTTTAGGTTTTTTTGCACCACTCTGTTGTGTAATTATAAGTCCTAACATTTTAGGATTCCGAGGTTACCGTACGGTACGGTGTAAATCCTTCTGTCTTTTAGGCTATTTGCACAGTCTGACGTTGTGCAAACATAAGTCCTAAATCTTAAATAATTTGCAGGATTGAAATATCAAATAATCATCACTTCAAAGACATAAAGCCGAATATTAGGATAGTTGGGAGTTCACTGGGGTTTTTCCCAGATCTGTGACGTCCCCTACTTTTCTTTCCCTTAGATTCCTTAAATAATTGTTCTTATTTTGAGTCATTCCTATTTGATTTTCCCATGTCCAATCGTGAAAACTTAAACTTTGAAATCTTGAAAACAAAACCACATAATCTTAATCGAGAGTTTTCTTAAATGACTTCCAGTATTAACTATAGGGGCTTGCAATAGGGGCTTGCATCTATAGGGAACCAGAAACCCAGATAAAATAAACCTTATCTAATCCTCATATTAAGTAGGAGAACTTGTCGGCAAATAAGACAATTTCGCAGACCGAACGGATGTCACAAATTAGACCGTTTAGGTGATTGAATCCTTATTACAAGTGATATTTATCCTTCGGGATAAGTGTTTTAATCCTTATTACAAGTGATATTATCCTTCGGGGATAAGTGTTTTACTTGTAGTATCGTATTCACTCGTCTAAACTATTTAAAATGTGAGACCCGTTTGGTCTCACCTATTTTAAATTAAAATGTTGCTTTGAAAAATAAAAAAAAGGGGTTATATTCATATTTCAATTATTTTTAAAATCACAAAAATTATTATCTTTTTTAAATCATAAAGTTATTTCAAGTTATAAAGTGAAATTAAATAAAGATTTTTAAAAGATGTATAAAAATAAGACAGCCGACACCATGTAAAAGCCTTCACATTGTGAAAATATCAGAAGTTAGTACAGCAAGTTCATTCCCCGAGCATACTATTCATCGCTTTCAGAGAGCTCGTAGCAGCTGCAAATTTTTAGAGAACAGCAAAAGAAAATAACCAAATGTTTATAGAAATGCAAGGGTTGCAATAAGCCATAACATCAATGCTGTTTGCTCTAAAATCATCAACTAATTCTCCCTACCCAGCAAAAACATCTCATTTTTGATGTCATGTAGGATGGTAATATTTGACAATCCCAAATCTGAAATGTCTGCCATGACATTCACGGAAGCTTAGGGTAAAAGAATTCTTGTCACAAAATCTTCTCAAAAAAAAAAAAAAGGATAAAAACTTTTTTCACAAAAGCAGCCTATGGTGTAATTACTAGAATAGAAAAAGTCATATCAAAGACACATGTTGGAAGCTCCACAAAAAAGCCATAAGGCTACAATGGAGACAAAGAACGTCAATTAAAAGCGCATACCTTTCTCACTGAACAAGAAAAACTCAACTCAAGCAAAATGGATAAACTAAGGAGCTTACTCAATTCCCTACAAAAATTTTTCCAGTCCTGCTTTCTAACTCAAAATTATAATGTTGGCCTTTAAAAGAGAAGCATAATAATAAGTTAAGTGTTGCCGAGATGAGAATGATTAGGTGGATGAGTGGCTTTACACTTAGAGACAAAATGCGGAATGAATATATTCGTGATAGGGTTGGTGTAGCTCCTGTGACAGACAAAATTAGAGAAAGTCGTCTTAGATGGTTTGGTCATATTAAACGTCGAATCCGATTAGGAGAGTAGATGTAGATGTTTTAAATTCGACTTGTGTTAAGAAAGGCAGAGGTAGACCTAGGAAGACTTGGGCTTATTGTATTAAAAATGATCTTAATTTACTAGAACTAAATGAAAATATGACACTAAATAGGACGCAATGGAGAAAAAGGATTCATGTAGCCGACCCCACGTAGTGGGATTAAGGCTTTGTTGTTGTTGTTGTTGTGCTTTCTAACTCAAAATTATACAAATTCTAACTTCTGTAATTTTAAGTCTCAGGCAGTTCCTCTAAAACCTGTAATATAGTTCAACATCCACTGATCATTTGAGTTGATAATTATAAGGAAGGCTTTAAGTAAAGGAAAAATTTCTTGCAATTTTCAGAAGGTGCTGATTTTTCCTTTCTACCACCAAATTTTTTGTATTGGTTGGCAGAGCAGGATGAGCTGAGTAATTGCAAATCAAGTATTGCATGCACCAAAAATGGTTTACAAGAATTTCAAGCAATAAAAAAATTGCAAATCAAGTATTGCATGCACCAAAATGAGTTACATCTACCTCTCCCGATTCAAAGCTTGCAATTATAATCCTCCATTATGGTTTGCATGAGTGTTGCCTTCCAAAATATGAAAGAATAAGAATAATAATCTTATGCAACTTTTAATATTCTTATCTTAAAATGGTTGCAAACATGTATGCCATACTAATAATGGGATTTTTGCAAACAAGTATTGCATCCACCCATCCATCCTTCATATAATAATTAAGGGGCATGGGGGAATTTCAATTTAGAGATTTTGAAAAAAAGCCTTTCATCCTCCATCATCCATCCATCCATCCATCCTATAATACTTATGGGTATGGGGGTAAGCATATAAAATTTATCTTTTTATTTAATTTTAGAGATTTTAAAAAAATTCCTCTAAAAAAAAATAAAGGCAAAAGACGGAATACCATTTAAAACATCATGGAAGCAACAATTATCCTCATAGGCATGGACCATCCAAGCTGCTGCTCCAATGCCATTGCATGAGAAGAATCCAAATCTATGCTGCACCACAAAAAATAAATAAATAAATTCTGCATCTCCATATGGCATGCATCAAGGCCTTCAAAATGCATTTCATTTTAATTATCATATATATATATATATATATATATTAGAGAGAGAGAGAGAGAGAGAGAGAGAGAGAGGTAGAGGGAGAGGCAGATATTTAACTCGATTATCCTCATAATGGTCAAAACTTAACAAACATGAATTGTAAAGACTAACATAAAAATCAAAGTTTGGAAATTAAATATGTAAATAGATAGGAACTGTGCAATGTATCAGTACATCGAAAGAACAGCAGTTTTCCTTAGCAAGCATATTCTAACATTGCACAAGGTTCAATTCACCATTAAAATTTTTTAAAAAGAAGTCAAAAATATTATAGTCAAATAGAATTGTGCTACATTTCTTAGAAAATCATTGAATAAGTTGCCCCGGAAGAACCCATAACATCTGAGTATATATATAATGAGAGAATAAGATAGATAAATTTGAACTTTTATGCTTCAGAAAAGCCAAAATTAGAAAAATGAAGCCATCTTAATCTTTGACACCTGCATAAATATTAAGACTTAGGCGATAGACATGTAAATATATAAGAATTAAGTGAGATGCATGTAAATTTTCATTGATATATAGGAAAAATTACATAACGGCCACACAATTCTTATGAATTTATATATGTAACTCACAAAATTTGATATTTACACTTCTAACACTTTGATGTCATAAAACCGGTGGAATTTTTTATGTGAAGTTAATGATTTGAGTGATATGCCTATAAGATATATGTAAAATAAATAAGAACCGTGGCATGTATATATACACTGTACACACAAATATTGAATTACAAAACCAAGCCCATTTTCCAAAATAACCGAACTGTCGATGACGGAATAGGCCAAACCAAGCCCCTCTTTTCAACATATTTTCCACATTACTTGCTTATTGAAGTGATCGAATCGCTCTCGATCATCCGAACTGACCCGATCCAACCAGAAATAGCATCCAATCATCAATACATGGATTTAACAATTTTCAAGGTTAAACCCGCTCCCGAGACAAAGGATGTCTATCACATCATCAACATTCGTTTATGCACCAATAAGAGGTCTTTTCTCAATAAACCCTTCCCTAAAAAAAGACTACAGAAAAAAATGAGAATAGAACATACCATTGAAGGGTCACCGGCTCTCAACCTCTCTCGCTCCCTCTCTCTCTCTCTCTACTTAGGCATTCTTCTAAGAAAGGTAGGGGGAGGGACTTCATCAGGCTCCTCAGTTTTTCTCCTGCCTTTCTCCCGATATGGGAAAGATTTAAGATCTTATACCAGATTGTATAGTACCTCGGCCTGTTGGTTGGCATCCTCGGTGTAAGACCCCTCAGGTCGGAGGTTCAAATCCTCTCTGACACTGTTAGCCTTAAGAAGGCGGGTACTTGAATTGTTAGGCATATTAGGAGTGGTTGGAGACTCATATAACAGCCTCTGGCCATTCCTTTTGAAAAAAAATATATATATGAGAAAATGAGAGCAAGAGCTAGAGAGAGAGATTGATTTTATATGCCCCATAATAGTCAAAACTCAACATACATGAATGACAGTCTTCAGAGCCAACATAAAAATCAAAGTTTGTGTCATATATGTAAATACAGAAGAATTGTGTGAGATATATGTAAATCAAAAGTCCATCAACAGCTTTTCTCAGCTAGCATGTTGTAACATTCTAAAAAGCTATTTCTTTTTCTCTTTTAAAGCAAAGCATTTTTGAGGTATTAATACATTAGTATGTATTAATAACTCAGAAAAGCTTAACAACATGCTAGCTGAGAAAAACTGCTGATGGACTTTTGATTTGCATATGTATCACACAATTCTTTTGAATTTGGCTCGATAAGTTCAGCTAGTGAGCCAGCTTGGCTCATTTACACCCCTAACCCAAATATTAAAATTTGGGTGTTAGGAAAGTAAATATATAAGCCTTAAGAGGCATGTATGTAAATCCTTCTTAATTTCATTTCAATTTCTTTTCTCGAATTTGAGGAAAAAAACACTAAAAAAAATTAGGAGAGAAAATAGGATAACAGTTAAAAAAATCATGGAAGCAGTGGTTACCCTCATTAACAACGTCATAGGCATGGGGCGTCCAAGCTACTTAGGGTCTGTTTGGCGCAGCGTTTTCACTGCTGTGCGGCATCGGAACGAGAAATTCGCTCGTTTGGGGCAGCGTTGAAAGAGCGGTGTCCCGCGATTTCGATCGAAAGCCGAACGCCTATAGGAGCCCGCTTCCTAGCTTTCGAACGCGTCATTTTACCCCGTTGCCCTGACCGATCTCTCGTTCCTCCTCTTCGCCGACCACGCTACCGAGCTTCCCGATCAATTCTCTCTTTCTCCGACTGCCTTCCGCTTTTCTTGATCGCTCCTTGCCTCATCTTCGCCGATTCCTCTTCTCCCGACCGCGTTCCTCTTCCCCGATCTCCCCCTTTTCCTCCTACAGGTTGGGTGACATGAATGTAAAGATTGAAGTTTAGGTGGTAGATATGTAAACACATAAGGATTGAGTGGTATGTTTGATAATCTTCCTTGGTAATAACGTCGACCCAGTAATGCTCTTGACGTCAACTGAAGTAAGAAGTTTCTGGTAAGGTTTTGCATGGCTCTTTTAGGTTGGAATAGTCAATTGGACATTTATTAGTAACAATGGTGTTATTCATGGAACCTTATCAAATTGCTACATTTGGGATTGATCACTTGATCTATCCCGGGATTTGAGCCCAAATCAGTAGAATTTCATTCAATATTTATGTGTTTAAATATCTATGCATCACCACAAAAGCAAATCATAAGGCACAGATCGCCTTCAAAAATGCATTTTATCTTCATCATTAAACATAAATATAAATACAAAAGATAGAACTCCAGGCATATGAATTGCACCCTTTCATGTCAACATAAGAATTAAAGTTTAGGCGTTAAATATGTAAATACATAAGAATTGTGTTGTATATTTGTAAATTCCCCTTTCTAATTTCATCACATTTTTTGCTCTTGAATTAGAAGAATCCTTTTAAAAAAATAATGGGAGAAAAAATGTAGTATCTTTCAAAACATGATAGAAGAGAAATTACCATAACTGCCATTCAACACGGTTAACTTGAAACAAGAAAAGGAAGGAAAGACAGTAAAGAGTTGAACGCTAACATTCACCTTTGTTCCATCCCATCTGGTAGATGATACGACCATTTTTCAGTCACCATGACATATATGCAGAGGTCGCCTGCAAACAAATGGGCCATCCAAGCCATTCCATCTGATTACAATATAATAGCGAAGCATTAATATCCCTGAACTACCATCAGATCCAATCCAATTAGATCATCGATCATGGAGAATGAGATAATCGGATCAAATGAAAAAGGTTCAACTCAACTAGGTTCTAGTAAATCCTTTGTCGGATATATACATAAGGATATTTAACTCAAGTAGGCCATCGTAAAGCATCTGCATGATAAATCCATTAAGATAAATAATAACAATGAAAACCGACAATATTTCGATGGGTGAGAGTTCAAGATGTTGCATGATACTGACAATAAAGAACTTCACAAATAGTTTTTCTAGGGCAATGCAAATATTAAAATCTAGATATTAGGCATGTAAATACAATAAGAATTAAGTGGAATGCATGTAAATCCTCTTAAATAGCATTTCACTTTTAAATTTAAATAACGCCATAAAACCATCTTCCCTTCCCTTCTCCTTCCTGAAACCCTCACCAACATTCCTCCCTCTTTCCCAGTTTTGCCCAAATCCATTGCCTTCATGCCGAACCCCGCTATTAGCGCTAGCAGAGAAGGCAACACCGACTTCCAAAATTCCAACTTTCTTCTCCTTTTGTTCCGCTCCACAAAAACATATTTCAAATTTGCCTAAATTGAAAGAAGCTATACACTTTAATAGCTAAATGGGTTGCTTGAATATATAGAAAAGTAAGGAAAGAAACGGACAATCAGAAGATCAGATTCATATTTAGTTGGTCAAACAGCATATCCAACAGCTAGTGTCCTCCAGTTGGCTCATGAAAACAGTGGTTACCCTCAAACACAGGCCCTCCAAGATACCCTAAAGGACTGCAAAATGATAAAATACTACGATGAATTTAAATGTCATGGCTTGTATATACACATACATATACATATACAAATACATACCACTCAATTCTTATGCATTTATATATCTAACAACTAATTTTAAAATATATGCGATCTTACTTACGCATGAAAAGGCATCTTTCATTTTTCACAACTTAAAATAGTGGTATTTTTATATATGAACTGTTTGGGTGATATAAATGTAAAAAACAAAACTTAGAAGACTGGTGGGAAAGCAACAGGATCGCAGTGAACCAAGACCTATGAAACTCCCATTTTTCTCTTTCCACTTTGCTCCCACCCGAAACCATTGAGAAAGGTAACCCTCGCCATTCCTCCCCTGCTTCCCAGCTGCTTTCACAGGCCTCAGCTTTTCTAAATCGCATAAATCCATCTTCCAACAAGATTTAATTCATCCTGGATACAAGGCAACACATAAAAAATCTTATGTACTAGCATATCTAACACCTAAACATAAATTTTTACATACATAGCAAAGAAAGGTGGAGAAAATCTCATTACCTTATTTCTCAGTTGTTGAAATTTAGAATAATGAGGAATAAAGCGGAATTTAGTGCAATTAAGCCATTATTAACAATATGAAAGAGCGTATAAATAATCCTTATATGAATCCTAGAATAGGAAATGCAATAAAAAATATATATATAAAATAAAACATATAACATCTAATATCTCCAATTAATCAATTCATAATAATTATTTGAAGATAAAGGAAATAACAAAAAAACTGAAAGACTAAAATAGGAAAGTAAAAAGCTCCTAATTCAAGGAAAAAAATATAACTTAATCCAAAGAAATAATTTATTCCAAATAATTTCTCACATGAATAAATTATTTTCTACTAGAAATCCTAACATCAATAATCAAATTACAACTCTTCTCCTTATAATAATAAGGAACGACTAGGACAAACTTGATTACAACCACTACAACTTATCAAAGATAATTTAATTTAATAAGGAAAGAAATAGGACATAATAAAAAGAGAATAAAAGAGATAACAACAACAACAAGCCCTTATCCCACTAAGTGGGGTTGGCTACTTGAATCTTTTTCGCAATTGCATCCTATTGAATGTCAAATTCTCACGCAGGCACATGCAGTAATGGGCCATCGACACCTAAACTTCCAATTTTGTTAAACAAAATTTATCCAACATCTGCTTCATTACAGTTGGCAGATGGAAGCAACAGTTACCCTCAAACACAAGGGCCATCTACACTGCTATATCCTCCTCACTGAAAAGAGTGGATCTCTGAAAAAATGCAAAAATGCAAAAATGATCACCTTTGATATGTGTTTATATATATATATATATATATATTAAAAAATGAAATCGGTATTTGGCAAAGACCCAAATATCGATTTCCCATACGCTAGGCCCCATGATGAGGGACCGCACCATGTGCCTAAATATTCGAGAACCCAACGCCACTGGGGATCGAACCTGTGATCTGAGGGGATTTACAGTGAACCCCGCCAATCAACAGGCCACACCTTGCTAGAGAGAGAGAGAGAGAGATTTACACACATAAGACTCAATTTTTATGTATTTACATATCTAAAATCTAAACATTATTGGGTGATATAAATGTAAAAATTAAAATTCAAGAGACTGGTAGCGTGTCTTTACACCTAAACCTTCCTGACTGTCGTGATTGGAGCTAGCTGGAGAAGCAACAATGGGATCGCTGCCTACAAAGGCCTACTAAATTCCCATCTTTCTCCTTCTGCTTCACTCCTACGTAAAACCAATCAGGGTAACCCTCACCTTTCTCCCCTCTCCTCCCACCAGTCCACACAATTAAGCTTCTCTAAATCACGTAAAGCCCTCTTCCAAGGGATACTAAATCCTGGATTTTGGGCAAAGCAGAGGAAAAGTGGGACTTGAGAGCCTGTGGGAATTAAAAATGTCATTTTTGTTGTTGGGCAAGCTTTAGGCTAAGTCCTGCTACCAAACAGCCCCCAATTCTCTTCCTTCCCTTGGAACAAAAAAAAAAAAAGAAAAAAAAAACTTGCAAAATAGGGGAGAAAATAAGGCTATCATACGAAAATATCATGAAAAAACAATTGCTATAATAACTGTTCAACACAGTTAATCTAAGCGAACATTTAAAAGACTAAAATGAAGAGTCAAAAGCAATGATTCGCCTGTGTTTTATCCCAAAGAAGATACGCCCATTTCTTAGTCAACATGAAACTGGTGCAGCAGTTGTCCAAAGATTCATGAGCTATCATAGCTGCTCCGTTCCAGCACAGCATAAATGCGAAGAAGCATTAATATTTCTGAAGCACCATAAAATACCATTGGTCATGTAAAAGAGAATAAGAGCAAGCCATTCTAACTTTGAAATTATATTGAAGTAGAAAGGAAAAGGGAATTCATAAGCTTAAATTCACCTAGTTCCATAAAAAAATTTAAATATCCACATCTTCTCTACCAATGACAAATGAGCGTAACGATTACCTGCATAAGCATAGGCCATCCAAGCTAATCCATCGCCATGAGAAAAGGAAAGAATACTTGTAGACCCATGATAAATTTAATCATATCGCCTAACCACTCACTTTAATTCATGGATTCAAAGATATAAAATTTAAGTAATTCATCACTATTGTTGAGATCCAAGTAGAGACCTTTTTTTTATTTGAAAAAATTCAAGAATTTTTTGTTGCAAATGCTTGGATGCATGAGATTGGATTGTCAGTCTTAGACCTAGAGTTTTTTGAGAGATTTCCTGCCTCTCAAATTGCAAGAATTGGGAGAGATAGTGTCAATAAGAATTTTGAATTTATGTAAGTTGTTTGGATTATTGCAATTAGAATTTCTTTTAACCCTAATTTTTACAAAAAAAATTGTTGATTTCTACATCGAATCGTATCAAAAATCTTATTGAAATTTGGTAAGAAAAATGTTTATGAGTGCCCCCAAAAATTTAATCCATGAGCAAAAATAAATTAACATTGTATGCCACATAATACAAGCAATTAGCCATAAATTTCCACATTATATTCATTTGTAGAAACATACCCAAAAATCCACTTTGGATGAAATTACACCTAATAAGAGATGATCTCTAATAATCGAGGATCGCTTACTAAAGTTTATGCCCTCTGAAACTGTTTAGAACCTGAATTTGGACTTGGTTTGAATCTATAGCATTAGACTATTGGGCAATTTACACATGTATCACACAAATTTTATACATTAGCATATCCAACAACAAAACTATGATACTTACACGTAACACATCAAAGTCAAAATCACATCATAGCACACACGGGAAAAAGGTGTATTCCACTAAAGAAAATTTAAAAGTAGCGACATTTTTTACATAATGCTAAAAATTTATATGTTATACAAGTAGATATTAAAATTTTTAGTTATGATTCAAATGCTTTATCCAGGCTTAAATTGGATCATTTTGGCATTGACTTTGTCTCATCGAGACATTCAGTTCAACAATAATTCAGCTGAAATCAAAGTTAGGATAGTCCTAATGTGACTCTAAAAGTTCACAATATAAAAACACATTGAGATTTGTGTCTAATCAAGTGAAATTTCTGGGTACATAACAATAATATCATATTAAAAATAAAGTTAAATAAAAGATAATCATATTTCACGTCCAAATCCCACTCCCCCAAATTTTAAAATACAATTAGCAACAAAAAAGCAAGTCAGGAGAAGGCATCAACATGATCAGAATGGGGTTTAATGAAACTAGCATATATTAGAGTTAAATCCATCAAATGACAGAAAAAATTAAGTCACGGACCAAGGCGAAAACAATGAGAAAGTGAATTTAAGATTGCATAAGATTTAATGTAGTCATTTTGGCTCTCTGCCAGGAAGTAGGTCAAATCATTGCTTAAATGCTGCTCAAATCCTCCTGCCAAACAGCCCCAAAGCCTCTTTTGGTTGCCTGAAGATATGAAAAAGATGGAAAAAAGTAACTGAGAAATTGGAGGATCTGATTCACCTTTGTTCAATGTGCAAGCAAAACCACCCAACATTTCTATACCACTGAAACATGGAATGCAATGGTTGCCCAAAGATTCAAAAGGCCGTCCAAGCTGCTCCATGTACAACTGATGAAAATAGAAGGGATCTCTAAAGCACCAAGACAAAAAATCCTGCTCAACATTAGGGCAGGGAAACAGCACATTCCATGAAGCATTTCTGCAGCATGGCACAATCAAAAGGGAAATTCTTGGAAATCATGATGATAAAAATAGTCGGTGAATAAATGATGATAAATATGCAAAAGGTAATTTTTTGGTGAACAAATTATTCTAAATTGAAAAATGCAGTGTAGCATTAATCTAAAAATTTGCATACTAATAATTAAACTTTCTCATCCTAGCAAATAATTAAACTTTCTCATCCTAGCAAATAGAGGAGAGTCAGCTTGTGGGCGAAGAGTAAGCTTCAAAGTAATCATCAGCCATGTAGAAGTCTTTAGCGAAAGAACTGAGCCATTCTCCATTCGCCTCATACATAACCTAATGGCTTGGGTTTTAATCTCCCTAGAATCTAATCATGCAGACCAGCTTAGCCTATTGGTTGAGAGCTAGTTTTTAAACCAAAGGGTTGTATATGCTGTGTGCGTGCATTTGAGATTAAATTCGCTCAAACTAATCAACAGCAACCTTAAACTGTATTTAAGTAGCCTCTCCATGCATAGAGTCCGAACAGAGCAGTTCCCCAAAATACGGATTAGTAGGAATCCGGACGTGTTAATAACGTGCATACCCTTAAAATAGGACAATTACATGCATAGCACTTGAAACATTGATATTTTAAAAGCTAGCACCCTTTTTCATTGAAGTGCTAATTATTCACATATAGGGATACTTTAAATATATTACTTTCATATAATTAATTTAAAAACTTTAAACTTGCTCAAATGAAAAGGCAATTTAAATATTTGAGGGAATTTGATTGATATTCAAGACTGATAAAATAATGCACTACTAAATGTTCACATGTTGCATTCAAAATGTTAACGATCAGGTTTAAAAATAACATAAATACTTTTTTTAAAAATAATTATTCGATACTTATTTAATAGTATAGGAACCTGTAACTGTATTGAGATGGTGATTATAAACTAATCAACATGAATAAGGTTGAAAAGATCAAATCACAGGCTAAAATGTACGATCAATCAGAAAAGTAACAGAATAGAATTTAATTTCATTTCCTTTAAATTCTTTCAACCCAAGTAACAGAATGATTTGGATCCTTTCCAATTAATTAAAGCTCATACAGAAACCCTAACTGAAGTGTTTTTAGATATAAAAACAAGATTTATAGAAAAGTGGGGAAAGGAAATGAGCTCAAATTAGTAATCATTCAATCAACAGGAAACTCCAACCACCAATTATCTATC